TAACAATAATAACAATAATAACAATGATAATAACAATGATAATAACAATGATGAAGATGAAGATGAAGATGAAGATGAAGATGAAGATGAAGATGATGATAACAAACACTAAAAAACACCCAACATTTCAACTAAGGATGGCAATCTGGAGACAGACCAAGATTACAAAAGGAGATAGAATGACTTTTAAAACAAGCATTCCTGAATAATCACTAATCTGTCCAGAGCTACTCTGTTACTCAGTTGCTGTCATCAGTCTCATCCAAAGTGCCAAACTTTGAAATTAAGAGTTAAGCGTCTACATGCAGTCCACATATTAGGTTCTTCAGCTGTTGACCAGTCATAAGAAGCCTAACCAACCAACATCCAAGCCATATTATTATATTAAAGGATTTTTAAAAAATCAACAAAATAAAGATATAAAAAAAATGTGACCTATCACAGTAAAAGTCTATAAAAAAAATAAAAATAAAAATGGAGGGAGGATTTTCTTTCTTTCTTTCTTTTTACCTCTGATGCTTGGTAAAACCTGGCTAGAAACTTAGACGCCTTCGCTAAAAGCTCGCCTGTCACCGGTTCGTTCTCATCGTCCAAAATCGGGACGCCTTCCATATCGATAACCCCATCTGGCACTTTTGGGATGCATCGACCAGCCACTAAAATTCAAAGATTAACAGCTACATATATATGTAGGCAAGAGAAAAGTATATTGGAATATCTGGTTTGAAAAACAAATATAGAAAAAATAGAGCATTTTTTTTGTATATTACAACAATAAAATGCTGATCAATAGCATATGGGAAAGGAAAATCCCTCATTTATATGAAATTTACAAATCTAAAAGCAGTAAGAAAAAACATCAATGGATTTTAAATTTTGATATCATTTCATATGTACTAAAATACCACATTTCCTTGAAAGAGACCTTACATCTATTTACATTACAGTATTTTTACAAACTGCATTATATCCAAAATATTATCTAAAACCAACTGCATAATAAGATTCTGCATTACAATGCCAAACAAGATTAAGTATGAAACCCTTAAAATAAAAATGAAAATAAAAACCCTATTCGACGATGAAAGAAAAACAAGTTTGACTATTCATACACATACTGAACCTAATTCTTTCTTTCTATGGGGGCATTGATAGAACATTTGCTCTGCCATTATAAAAAAAAAATTGTCTTTCCATTTTCTTTTCCCATTCCAGTTTCAACAATTACCTTTTTCCTTCCTTTCATTATATAAAATAAAATTTAAAAAATAATAAATATACAATTAAATATTAGAACTTTTCTGCTTCCCTAAATTACTGTAATCGTCCTGCAAACTTCTTATTATCAACCTCTATGTATTAACAAGCCTGCATCTTCAGCCAGTAATGATTTTAATATGTCATTTCTGTGATCCACTCCCTTGCTATTCCATTGCCTAGAGGTCTCTAAAATTATTGATTGATAGTCATACATCAGCCAAAGATTGCTCGCAAAATATTATATAATCATGGTAACAATTTCCTTTTCATGGTGTGAAATTTCCATTGACTGACAAATTCATAATCTCAAGTTATATTCCCAAGACTACTGTGCGCCTTTTTTCTATTATATCAAAATTCTTGTAAAAGGATAAGATAAAACAGATAAGATTTTCTATTATTCCTTATCCATTACAATAGTGAAATCTATTTTCTTGAACCCCAATACTTCAAATTATAATCACTATCATTATCACCATCATCATTTCTTCTTCCATTTATTTATTTTTTAACAGCCATCAAATTAAAAGAACAAGTTGTCTCACAAACACATTGTCTCATGTTTGGAGTTTTGCATCAATGTATGGTGTTGATGACAAATGTTTTCCTCCATTTCGTCTGTGATCACTAGTGAGACAAGGTCATTAATGCTTATTACATGATAATGTTAGTTCTCCCCAGGTACTCAAAACAAGCAACTATCAGCTTTCACTAGCCTTCTACAACCTTTCATATGAATATTACCATATATCCTTTAGAGTGATTATCTAACCACTACTTTAGTATTACATTACAAGGAAAATTATGAATTTCAGATAGGACTTGTAGCTTTCCAGTCCTGTGTAATATCCAATGGTATCCAACACCCAAGACCGTACCAGCAGCAAGTGAAATGTTAGCTTGAACGCAGCATGTGCAGTAATGCATCGTGCAAAAAACAAATATCAGCTGAGACTGTATACCTCTTGCAGATGACCAAATCTCATTACATATTTCATGGCATTTGCGAGATACTCGACTTTCTCAAATTTGTTTAACTGTGTTGTTTCTGCAAAGCTGTCGAAAATTTGTTCTGCAACTGCCGATATGTTCTTTGGTATGCACCGACGAGCAACTGAAAACAGATCCTCATAATGAGTTTGATTTACATAAAAATTAATATTTCTGTACCTCTACAGCCTGTTAAATATGATTTTTTTTTTGGTGCAAACTTCAATTTAAGAAACCATAAAATAATAAATTTAAACCAGTATTTATAGCCTGCCTGAAACGGAGAAAACAATGCAAATATAAAATGCAAATACCCTTAGTCTCTGTCTCTGAACATCTCTGACATAGCTCTTCTTAATTCAATTTTACTAATCTACTTCCCCATAACTATTAAGTATAAAATACCCAAATAATAATAGCCTAATCCTAACATCATTCAGTACAGAAAAAGGGTATGTACTTAGTGAATGTCTTCCTTACTCATGTAGATTAACAATTCCTACTGACTGAGACATAGGTAAACCAGAAATATATATACAGACCTAATATACTTTCTCCAAAGCTGAAATACTTCACACTTATTTACAAAATTCATCTAAAATCTCAAACCAATACAATACAATTAAAGATGTATAATTCATCAACTGAATTTTTCCTTCTCTTCTTTTTTTTTTATAAGTTCAAAACAAACAACAGTCACTTACGGTCATCGCTTTCCACATAGTACCTGGCACAGTGGCCCTCATTAACAAGTTTGTCAGCAGTCATTTGAGTTATGTTAACCGTGTCCTTGCAAATGAGGTCTTTCTTGTCTGCTGTTGCCGACGTATAAAACCAATTCTTGCTTGGACATTTTTCCACACACACCTGTAAGAAGAATGAGATTTCAAACATGATCTTTAATGACAGCAAGAGATAAAGATTGGAATGAGGATACAAGTATGAGGAGAGAGGAAATGAGAAATAGAGAGGAAGGGAAGAGGAAGAGGGAAGGAGGGAAGAGAGAGATAGGGAGGTACAGATGTAGAAATGTAGAGAAGTAGAGAGGTAGAGAGGTAGAGAGGTAGAGAGAGAGAGAGAGGAGAGAGAGAGGAGAGAGAGAGGAGAGAGAGA